ACAAGGGAGCTAGAGAGCAGGAAGTGGTGGGAGGAGCGGAGAGGATGGTTTGGGTGATATTTGGAGACAAGATTGGTGATGTCATTTGGGGCAGAGATATAAATGGCTTTATATGTGATTATTAATGTTTTGAATACTTGGCTCTGTATTCTCTAAAAGGAGAGGTGCTGGGAGGTGGGCAGAGGGCAGAACCAAGTGAAGGTGCACAGACGTGGGTAGGGGTGGAGCTAAGAAGTGACTCTAAAAGGGGGAGTTCCTGCACCTATTTTTGGATAAAAAAAGCCCCGGGTATAACTGTAGAACATTAGAAATAAGTGCCTAGACTGTTTACAATCCTGTAATCCACTGTCTCACCCTGTTCTGCACATGCTCAGTTGTTCTTTATTTTTAGGCACTGTGCTGAATTTGTAGCAACCCCATCTGCTGACAGCCTAAAGATTTACTGCTGCTCGGGGGCTCTAGGCTTCAACAAAATGGCTGCCTCCAGCAAAAACAAAACAGGAGCAATGCCGGAGGCCATTTACAGCACACACTGATTCCGGTAACATAATTATTATTGTGGAATGTATGTTCCTTGCTAAAGAACATTATTTTTTATCAGGTTGTTATAGGTAAAGTTCCAACTTAAAATATCTCAAAAAATGATACCGCATTTTTAGATGGAGCTGATGACCAGAGGAATTCATCTATTACAGGAAATACAGGGAAAATATGCCCTTATGGAAGAAAAATATATTTGAAGTATATTTTAAAAATATTCTTCCCAAATATACTTCCATATATTTGAAATGCTACAATTATGGCCATATACAATATATTTCAATAAACATATATATATTGAAATGCATTTTTATTACACAATATATGAAAGATATATTTAAAAATACATTTCTAATATACTGTATGTCTTTACAAATACAAATCTACATTTTTGGAATGCATTTACAAATATATGTAAAAATATATGTTAAAATTACTTTTTAATATGTTGAAAAAAATCTGAAGACTGTATTTTAAACAAATCTATTTTTTAAAACATGCAGTATAAAAATATAATTTACCAGTGCAATGCGGCGTTATCATATAATTTATATATATATATATATATATAAAAATTATTTTTATATCTAATTTATTTATTATATATATATATATATATATATATATATATATATACCGTATATTATATATATATATATATATGGGTCACTGGACAACACGGGACGCTCAGGGGTCACTTGATGACATGGGACGCTCAGGGATCACTGGACGACACGGGACGCTCAGGTGTCACTGGATGACACGGGATGCTCAGGGGTCACTGGACGACACGGGACGCTCAGGGGTCACTGGACGACACGGGACGCTCAGGGGTCACTGGACATGACAGGGGTCACTTGGGACGCTCAGGGGTCACTTGATGACAGGGGATGCTCAGGGGTCACTGGACGACACGGGACGCTCAGGGGTCACTGGACGACATGGGAAGCTCAGGGGTCACTGGATGACATGGGACGCTCAGGGGTCACTTGATGACAGGGGATGCTCAGGGGTCACTGGATGACAGGGGATGCTCAGGGGTCACTGGATGACACAGGAAGCTCAGGGGTCACTGGACAACACGGGACGCTAAGGGGTCACTGGACGACACAGGAAGCTCAGGGGTCACTGGACAACACGGGATGCTCGGGACATGGGACGCTCACACTGGATGCTCAGGGGTCACTGGATGACACGGGATGCTCAGGGGTCACTGGATGACACGGGATGCTCAGGGTCACTGGAGGACATGGGAAGCTCAGGGGTCACTGGATGACAGGGGACACTCAGGGGTCACTGGACGACATGGGACGCTCAGGGGTCACTGGACGACACGGGACGCTCAGGGGTCACTGGACGACACGGGACGCTCAGGGGTCACTGGATGACACGGGACGCTCAGGGGTCACTGGAGGACAGGGGACGCTCAGGGGTCACTGGAGGACACGGGACGCTCAGGGGTCACTGGATGACACGGGACAGCTCAGGGGTCACTGGAGGACATGGACGAAGCTCAGGGGTCACTGGATGACAGGGGACACTCAGGGGGGTCACTGGACGACACGGGACGCTCAGGGGTCACTGGACGACACGGGACGCTCAGGGGTCACTGGACGACACGGGACGCTCAGGGGGGTCACTGGAGGACAGGGGACGCTCAGGGGTCACTGGAGGACAGGGGACGCTCAGGGGTCACTGGAGGACACGGGACGCTCAGGGGTCACTGGAGGACATGGGACGCTCACAGGGGTCACTGGACAACACGAGACGCTCAGGGGTCACTGGATGACATGGGACGCGCTCAGGGTCACTTGATGACAGGGGATGCTCAGGGGTCACTGGATGACAGGGGATGCTCAGGGGTCACTGGATGGCACAGGAAGCTCAGGGGTCACTGGACAACACAGGACGCTAAGGGGTCACTGGACGACACAGGAAGCTCAGGGATCACTGGACAACACGGGATGCTCAGGGGTCACTGGATGACACGGGATGCTCAGGAGTCACTGGAGGACATGGGAAGCTCAGGGATCACTGGATGACAGGGAACACTCAGGGGGGGTACGCTCACACGGGACGCTGGACGACAGGGGACGCTCAGGGGTCACTGGACGACACGGGACGCTCAGGTGTCACTGGACGAAACGGGATGCTCAGGGGTCACTGGACGACACGGGACGCTCAGGGGTCACTGGAGGACAGGGGACGCTCAGGGGTCACTGGAGGACACGGGACGCTCAGGGGTCACTGGACAACACGGGACGCTCAGGGGTCACTGGAGGACACGGGACGCTCAGGGGTCACTGGAGGACATAGGACGCTCAGGGGTCACTGGACAACACGGGACGCTCAGGGGTCACTGGAGGACATGGGAAGCTCAGGGGTCACTGGAGGACATAGGACGCTCTGGGGTCACTGGACAACACGGGACGCTCAGGAGTCACTGGAGGACATGGGAAGCTCAGGGGTCACTGAGTAAAAAGAGGCTGGAAGTCTGGCATGGAGGTAAGTACTCTAGCAAGCAGTGGCCCATGTAACTGTTGAGTGAATACCCGGCCATACTTTGCATTGCAGTTTGAAGTTGTACCAATCAGGAGAGCTGTCCCCAGACTTGGCTGTGGTTCCGATTGAAGCCTGGTAGTACCGGAAGCAGCAGAGAGGAGACTTGGTACCGGATCAGAGGGGATTGGACAGAAATATGAACTGCCAATGGAAGAAGTCTGGTAGCCCGGCCTGATATCCCGGTACATTTGTGGTGACTGCACTGCCAGGGCTGCTGTGGTTGGCGCAGTGTATGCCAGCGGGTGGCTCCCATGTGCCCAGGCTAATAACTGTGAATGCGGGAGAAAATCCCTCCCATTGGGGCCCCAGACAGCCATCAAACCCTGACTGAGGTTCTAACCCTTCCACATTTCATCCAATACCAAACACAGGCCACATTACCCTCGAATGCGCCATTGTTAATGGACCTGCCTGACAATATTCGATCACAATAGTGCTTGCCTGACCCTGCACTGCAGTCCTGTCACTCGGCCTCTTGGTGGCAGCACAGGGCTGAAATCGTGGCGCGTATTTTCACGCAATGCTCATCTAAAACCGAACATTTTGTTTTCGCAGTTTGGGGGTCGGAATGAGAAGCACAATTTCTGCTGAATGAATTTTCTCAGTGAAAGTTTAGCAACATTCATCTTCAATTGATTCCCAGGCATTAGGGACGGAGACGCGAAAAAAACTGACATTTATTTTTTTGTAAGTGAAAATTTTCAGAAAATTTTGCTGCCCATCCATAGTTTTGGGTGGTATGTGAAAGGATTAGAACCCCTGCCAGGATTTTTTTTTTTTTTGTGCTACAAATGTACCAAACAAGTAGAACTGATATTACTAGAAGTCTCATCCAATAACAAGCCAACGCGTTACAGGGGCTCTGCGGTTTCTCCCTCCATCAAAGTTGCAAAGAAAATACGTAAAGATCACAATACAAAAAATCAAAATCAACTGTTTAGATCGGGGTTTCCGAATCAGCTCCATCTAGTGGTCATAACTTGGTATTTTCCTGATTCACTCCTGCCTTTATTAACCTAGAACCCCAGTATGCCTACTAGGTGGCTCCACCCCCCTTGGGTGCCACTATTGTGGCACATGTGCTCTACCTTACCTTTGGGTCCTGGCACAGCCCATCGGCACATCTATGCATGTGCAAATACAGGGAAAGGTCTTGTACTTCCCTGGCAGCAGTCGATGTGTGTGGGAAACCCTGCTCATGTGCAGATAGCTGGGGGTAACCAGTGCACGTGCAGATATGCTGCAAGGCTCTCTCAGGATCCGAACCCAGTGACACATAGTTACATTGTTGCATAGTTACACACATAGTTACATTGTTACATAGTTACATAGTCTGGCTGAAAAAAGACAAAAGTCCATCCAGTTCCACCATAGAAAAAGAAAAAAAAAGTTATAATCCTACACCCACAGTTGATCCAGAGGAAGGCAAAAAAAACCCAGCAAAGCACGATCCAATCTGCTCCTGCAGGGGAAAATATTCCTTCCTGATCCCCCGAGAGGCAATCGATATTCCCTGGATCAACTTTCCCTATAAATGTTATATCCAGTTATATTCTGTGTATCCAAGAAAGGATCCAGGACTTTTTTTTAAAAACAAAGCGAATTAACCCGTCTAGCTGTATGCGTTATAAACGGGGGTTCAGTTATCACACATTTGCAGATACATGTGTAAGCCACAGAGCCCCGTCACGGCACCCCCGATATTCTGTAGTTCCTGACGCTACTAATTTTGAGAGCCCCCATAGTAGAGGCGCATGTATTTAATGGATAGACCGAGGGCAGGTGGACCTGGGGGAGCCCACCCCTCCATAACCACCTTCCGCCCGCCCTATAGTAATAAGACGGGCACAAGGTGCTTCTCTCATTCTGATAGGACGTCATATGATGTCTTACCAGACTCACTGCGCATGCGCAGCTCAGGGAGCGCGCAGCGTGGCGATCGCCGGTGCGCTCTGTCCCTCAGACACAGCGGATCATGGAAAGAGCAGAAGATGTCGGCTCGGTCATGTGATCAGCTGTGTCCAATCACAGCTGATCACATGTAAACACGGAAATGCCGGTTATCGGCATTTCTCTCCTCTCGAGCTGTCCCGCTGACAGGAGAGGAGAGCCGGTAATCGGCTTTCCGTGGAGGGGACATGTACACTGATCATCAGGGCACTGATCAGTGTGCCCTGATGATCAGTGTAGCCCCAGAAGTGCCACCTGTCAGTGCTCATCAGTTCCACGTGCCAGTGCCCATCAGTGCCACATCAATGCCACATATCAGTGCCCATCTGAGCTGCCTTTCAATGTCACCCATCAGTGCCAGTCAGTGCCACCTATCTGTACTGCCAATCAGTGCCACCTATCAGTGCCAGTCAGTGCTACCTAACAGTGCCAGACAGTGCTGCCTATAAGTGCCACCTATCAGTGCCATATATCAGTGTCATATATCAGTGCCGCCTTTCAGTGCCCATCAGTGATGCCTGTCAATGCCCATCAGTGCAACCTACCAGTGCCTCAGTGCCCATCATCAGCCTATCAGCCCATCACTGCAGCCTCATTAGTGCGCATCAGTGAAGGAGAAAAATCACTTATTTACAAAATTGTATAACAAAAACTTTTTTTTTTTTTCAAAATTTTCAGTGGTTTTTGGTTTGTTTAAGAAAGAATAAAAATCCCCGAAGTGATTAAATACCACCAAAATAAAGCTCTGTCTGTCTCAAAAAAAGGATAAAAATGTCATACGGGTACAGTGTTGCATGACCGCGCAATTGTCATTCAAAGTGCGACAGCGCTGAAAGCTGGAAATTGGCCTGGACTGGAAGGGGGTAGAAGTGTCCTGTAGGCAGGAAGGGGGTAGAAGTGCCCTGTAGGCAGGAAGGGGGTAGAAGTGCCCGGTAGGCAGGAAGGGGGTAGAAGTGCCCGGTAGGCAGGAAGGGGGTAGAAGTGCCCTGTAGGCAGGAAGGGGGTAGAAGTGCCCGGTGGGCAGGAAGGGGGTAGAAGTGCTCTGTAGGCAGGAAGGGGGTAGAAGTGCCCGGTAGGCAGGAAGGGGGTAGAAGTGCCCGGTAGGCAGGAAGGGGGTAGAAGTGCCCTGTAGGCAGGAAGGGGGTAGAAGGCCCGGTAGGGCAGGAAGGGGGTAGAAGTGCCGAGTAGGCAGGAAGGGGGTAGAAGTGTCCTGTAGGCAGGAAGGGGGTAGAAGTGCCCTGTAGGCAAGAAGGAGGTAGAAGTGTCCTGTAGGCAGGAAGGGGGTAGAAGTGCCCGGTAGGCAGGAAGGGGGTAGAAGTGTCCTGTAGGCAGGAAGGGGGTAGAAGTGCCCTGTAGGCAGGAAGGGGGTAGAAGTGTCCTGTAGGCAGGAAGGGGGTAGAAGTGCCCGGTAGGCAGGAAGGGGGTAGAAGTGCCCTGTAGGCAGGAAGGGGGTAGAAGTGCCCTGTAGGCAGGAAGGGGGTAGAAGTGCCCTGTAGGCAGGAAGGGGGTAGAAGTGCCCTGTAGGCAGGAAGGGTAGGCAGGAAGGGGGTAGAAGTGCCCGGTAGGCAGGAAGGGGGTAGAAGTGCCCCGGTAGGCAGGAAGGGGGTAGAAGTGTCCTGTAGGCAGGAAGGGGGTAGAAGTGCCCTGTAGGCAGGAAGGGGGTAGAAGTGCCCGGTAGTGCCCTGTAGGCAGGAAGGGGGTAGAAGTGCCCTGTAGGCAGGAAGGGGGTAGAAGTGCCCTGTAGGCAGGAAGGGGGTAGAAGTGCCCTGTAGGCAGGAAGGGGGTAGAAGTGCCCGGTGGGCAGGAAGGGGTTAAAAGTACAGGAGCACAACGGACTATCTGGAATATCGGGGTGCCATGACATGGCTCTGTGGCTTACGCATGTATCTGCAAATGTGTGCTAACTGAACCCCTGATTATAACGCATACTGCTAGACGGGTTGATTCGCTTTGTTTGCAGGCTGGTTAGAAAGCTGAGCCGGGAACTTTTCTCTTTTGTTTGACATGCGTCGCCCGTCCATGCGCTCCTTGCTGTGATGGCCAGTTATAGACTGGGGCAGCGACCATTTTTTGTACTGTTGAATTTTTTTTTAGTGGTTGAACTGGATGGACATTTGTCTTTTTTTCAGTCAGACTAACTATGTAACTCTGAATTGTTGGTGGGGGGGCACTGGACACCTTGGCTGCCATTGTTGCTGGGTGTCCGGTGAGAGTAATGCTCATCTTAATCTAGGGCCCCGCCATCTTCATACTGCCTCTGGTTGTGAGGATGAGCCCCCTGAAGTCATTCATGTTGCCCATCTCCTACTAGACTTCTCAACGCTCCTCTCACCAAACATCACCACATACAATGCAGGGCCACCTACCAATGCTGGAGGTATGTCACCAGAGGTCACTAAGCGATAGAGGGCAGAGGTCGCTACTAATTGATATGGAGTTCAGAAATCACCAGTATGTTATGTGGTGTTCAGAGGTCAGTAGTAAGTGGAGCAGAGTTCAGAGGTCAGTAGTAAGTGGAGCAGAGTTCAGAGGTCAGTAGTAAGCGGTGCAGAGTTCAGAGGTCAGTAGTAAGCGGTGCAGAGTTCAGAGGTCAGTAGTAACGGTCAGAGTTCAGAGGTAAGCAGTAAGTGACTCAGAGGTCAGTAGCAAGTGGCGCAGAGGTCAGTAGTAAGTGGCACAGAGGTCAGTAGTAAGTGGCGCAGAGTTCAGAGGTCAGTAGTAAGAGGCACAGAGGTCAGTAGTAAGTGGTGCAGAGTTCAGAGGTCAGTAGTAAGTGGCACAGAGGTCAGTAGTAAGTGGCACAGACGTCAGTAGTAGTGTGGTGCAGAGTTCAGAGGTCAGTAGTAAGTGGCACAGAGGTCAGTAGTAAGTGGCACAGAGGTCAGTAGTAAGTGGCGCAGAGGTCAGTAGTAAGTGGCACAGAGGTCAGTAGTAAGTGGCACAGAGGTCAGTAGTAAGTGGCGCAGAGGTCAGAGGTCAGTAGTAAGTGGAACAGAGGTCAGTAGTAAGTGGCGCAGAGGTCAGTAGTAAGTGGCGCAGAGTTCAGAGGTCAGTAGTAAGTGGCGCAGAGTTCAGAGGTCAGTAGTAAGTGGCGCAGAGTTCAGAGGTCAGTAGTAGGTGGCTCAGAGGTCAGTAGTAAGTGGTGCAGAGTTCAGAGGTCAGTAGTAAGAGGCACAGAGGTCAGTAGTAAGTGGCGCAGAGTTCAGAGGTCAGTAGTAAGAGGCGCAGAGTTCAGAGGTCAAGTAGAGGCGCAGAGGTCAGTAGTAAGTGGCGCAGAGTTCAGAGGTCAGTAGTAAGAGTGCGCAGAGTTCAGAGGTCAGTAGTAAGAGGCGCAGAGTTCAGAGTAAGTGTAAGAGGCGCAGAGGTCAGTAGTAAGAGGCACAGAGGTCAGTAGTAAGTGGTGCAGAGTTCAGAGGTCAGTAGTAAGTGGCACAGAGGTCAGTAGTAAGTGGTGCAGAGTTCGGTAGTAAGTGGTGCAGACAGAGGTCAGTAGTAAGTGGCGCAGAGTTCAGAGGTCAGTAGTAAGAGGCTCAGAGGTCAGTAGTAAGTGGCACAGAGGTCAGTAGTAAGTGGCGCAGAGGTCAGTAGTAAGCGGTGCAGAGTTCAGAGGTCAGTAGTAAGTGGCGCAGAGGTCAGAGATTATCAGCGCCCGTGCTCCATTTTCTTGTTTGCAGGCCAGGGGGCCCAGCTTCTACTTCTGCACACAGGCCCTCTGCTTTCAGAAACGCTCGGGGCGTACACACGTGTGCAAATGAACAAGGGATGTCTGTGGCAGGGAAGGGGTTACAGCGCTTCTCTCTCTCTTAGTGCTCATCTAACAAAGCTGATTGGTTCTTCTGTAAAACACTTTTATATAACGGAACATAAACAGTGTTCATTTCCCAGCGCCGAGTCCCGGAACCGGCTTGGTAAAAATAACGAATTGGCCGAATTCAGGGTCTCATTATTTATAAAGAACAATGGGAAGAGCCGCAGATTTATTTCCAGCTACTTCTGGACGCCGCGATCTTTCCCATGGCGGGCGACGTTCGCAGGATCCACGTGACTGCAAAATATGGGAAAGCGGAGTGTAATATGAATGAATATGCAGGGAAGCTGCCAGGCTCCAGCGCTGCCATGAATGAGATCTGCAATCATTTAACAATGTCAATGACGGTCCTGGCAAGGAGACCGCCGCATGCTCTGCGCTATTTTTGGCGTGGAAAAGTAGAGGTTTCGCATCTTTCAGCGTAAAGTTTTTACATGCAAATATTTTCCCATCTAATGAATGTGTAAACTAGAGAAAGTGTATTTTAGTATTGAACCTTTAGATAGTATAATGGGAAGGACGCACCCAGCGCCATAAAAGCCTGAGGGCGTATGAGGTCATGGAGGAACGATCCCGTGTCTATGACCTCACAATTCCACAGATGACATCAGGGGCGGACTGACCATTCGAGAACCCGGGCACTGCCTGAGGGCCCGGGGTCAGTAGGGGGCCCCATGAGATGCCCCTGGTACCTTTCATAGGCTTTTTTAGGTGTGGTTTGAGTGTGGGCAGGACACGGGGGCCCCATGATCCCCTATTGCCCGGGGGCCCCATAAAGTGTTAGTCCGCTCCTGGATGACATCACTGCTGCCCAGAAGAAGATCACCTCTAGAGATTGAGCCCGGATTCACACTGATGCGGTGCAGAATTCGTGGCGTTTTCAGTGTGAATTGCGCACCGCGTCAGATTCGCACCCCGTTCCTGCGAACCGCTGCGGGTGTGCATAAGTTAACAACACCATGAAATCGTTCCGCAAAACGCGGTGCGATGTGCAGAATCGGATCACATAGGTGTGAGTACCCGCGCGATCCGATTCTAGTGCGGACCCAAAAAAGGGTCCTGCACCTTTTGGTGCGGGTGCGGTGCAATTAGAGCCATACAAAATGTACGACTCCGATCGCACCGCACACACATCGCATGTGATTGGCAGAGGAATGCGGTGAGTTCCTGTGCGAATCACACGCAATATACCGCACTGCATGTATGTGAACCCGGGCTAAAGGTGTAAAAGATATGACAGGTCCCCTTATTATTTATTATTATTTATTTTTTTTATTTTTGGATATACTTTGGACACTATTTTTGGATATTCAATTATTTTGAATTAATCTTTGGATATTGTTTTTTGAAATTTTATTGTTTATTTGATAAGTCATTTATTTTATTTAATTTCATTTATTTTTGTATTTCTGCATATGGCTTTTGAGTATAAGTGAAGGAAAAGGTTTATTATTAGGTCCCCTTTAGCCCCCATTCAGTCGATTTTGATGCATTTTATTATGAGCAGTAGCAGGGGCGGACTGACAACTCATGGGGCCCCCCGGCAATAGGGGATCATGGGGCCCCTGTGTCCTTGCCCAAACTCAAAAAAGCCTATGAAAAAGGTACCAGGGGCATCTCATGGGGCCCCCTACTGACCCGAGTGCCCAAGTTTCCAAATGGTCAGTCCGCCTCTGGGCAGTAGTGAAATATCACATTATGTCCACTAGATGGAGCTGAAGAGCATAGGAAATACATATGTAAAAAGAGATACAATGTAACAATTGTAGACAACACTAGAGGGAATTAGCAAATTGGTTCAACTATTGGTTACAATCACCAGCCAGTTCCCTCTAGTGTTCTCTAGAACTGCATGGATCACTTCGTCCTGTCCCAGTCTGCACTGAGGCTGACCTGTTAGTGTGGTTCCCTTTAGAGACCAGCTAATTCCCTCTAGTGTTCTCTAGAACTGCATGGATCACCTGGTCCTGTCCAGGGGCGGACTGACCATTTGGAAACTCGGGCACTGCCCGAGGGCCCGGGGTCAGTAGGGGCCCCATGAGATGCCCCTGGTACCTTTTTCATAGGCTTTTTTGAGTTTGGGCAAGGACACAGGGGCCCCATGAATCCCCTATTGCCCGGGGGCCCCACGAGTTGTCAGTCCACCCCTGGTCCTGTCCATGTCTGTACTATGTCTCTCTTTGCAGCAGCTGAAAGCCAGCGGGAGGGAGAGGAGAAGAAGCCGGCTTTCAGCTGCTGCAGAGAGAGCCATACACGGGATCGATTCCAGTAATTGCCCCCCCCCCAACCAAACCGCCGTGCCGATCACCCTCCCTGCCCATGTCCGATTCACCTAGCTGCTGGGCCCCCCTTGCTGGCCTGGGCCCCATACAGGAGGACTGGTGGTACCCCCCTTATCCACGGCCCCACTTACAGATACAACGGGTTCTTTGAGGGCAACCATACTGCTGATACGGCCCGCGATGAAATGGAGTTTGAAATGGAGTTTGACATTGCCCGGGGGCCCCATGAGTTGTCAGTCCGCCCCTGCGCCAGTCAGTGCCATCAGTCAGTGCCACCGATCAGTGCCCAGTAGTGCTACCAGTCAATACCCAGCAGTGCCACCAGGCAGTGCCCATCATCAATGCCAGCTCAACAGTGCTGCCTATCAGTGCCACCCATCAGTGCCGCCTATCTGTGCCATCTCATCAGTGCAGCCTATCTGTGCCCATTAGTGTCGCCTATCAGTGCCCATCAGTGCTGCCCAGGGGCGGACTGACAACTCATGGGGCCCAAGGGCAATAGGGGCTCATGGGGCCCCTATGTCCTTGCCCAAACTCAAAAAAGCCTATGATAAAGGTACCAGGGGCATCTCATGGGGCCCCCTACTGACCCCCGGGCCCTCGGGCAGTGCCCGAGTTTCCAAATGGTCAGTCCGCCCCTGGTGCTGCCTATCCGTGCCACCTCATCAGTGCCCAACAGTGCTGCCTATCAGTGCCGCCTATCAGTGTCTCCTATCAGCGCCCATCAGTGCTGCCTCATCAACACACATCAGTGGAGTATAATTGTTTGCAAAATATTATAATAGAAACAAAGAAAAACTTTTTTTTTTCAAATTTTTTGCTCTTTTTTTGTTTATAGGGTACAGTGTTGCATGACCGCGCAATTGTCATTCAAAGTGTGACAGCGCTGAAAGCTGAAGATTGGCCTGGACAGGAAGGGGGTGACAGTGCCCGGTAGGTGAGGGGTTAATGACACAGATTCTGGGGCTGAATGAATGCAGATGGGGCACTAAGTGAGTCTAATTACCACCATAGTCAGCCCCAACCCGGGTCAGTAACATGTGCTCGGGATAAGGTGCCCCCCTACGCCCCCCCCCCCCCCCCCCTCCCCGCACTCCCTCCCTCCCTTCCCTCCCATGGTTAGCTCACTGTCCATGTTAGATGGTAGATAGCAAAAGATAATGATGGAGGGAGGTGAGTGCAGCGGAATCTGGGGGGGGGGGGGGTTGGGGGGGTGCGGGGGGGGGGGGGTTTGGGGGGGGGTGCGGGGGGTTCTGCGTTCCTGCGCTGCACTCGATCAAGCCCTGAGAGCTGAGATCTGTCATCAGCTGATTGGATACATTTGTACTGAACAATGTTACATTGTATAACTGATGACAGATCTTCACTTCTGAGGATTTTCTGAAGAAATTCAGCTTTCCTGATTTTATTGTTTACACACAGAGGACACGACATGGAGGACAGAGGACAAGGATACGGACAGGAGGAGTTCATTGTGTTCTCTGCTGCCCAGTAGAACCATCCCACCATCCCTGTGCTGACCCGGGTCCGCCCGCTGTGCCCATTATGAGGGGTTCCCACCATCCCTGTCTGTCCCGGGTCTGTACGCCCGCTGTGCCCATTATGAGGGGTTCCCACCATCCCTGTGCTGAGATCCCGGGTCTGTACGTCCGCTGTGCCCACTATGAGTGGTTCCCACCATCCCTGTGCTGAGATCCCGGGTCTGTACGCCCGCTGTGCCCACTATGAGGGGTTCCCCCCATCCCTGTGCTGAGATCCCGGGTCTGTACGCCCGCTGTGCCCACTATGAGGGGTTCCCCCCATCCCTGTGCTGAGATCCCGGGTCTGTACGCCCGCTGTGCCCACTATGAGGGGTTCCCCCCATCCCTGTGCTGAGATCCCGGGTCTGTACGCCCGCTGTGCCCACTATGAGGGGTTCCCCCCATCCCTGTGCTGAGATCCCGGGTCTGTACGCCCGTTGTGCCCACTATGAGGGGTTCCCACCATCCCTGTGCTGAGAGATCCCGGGTCTGTACGCCCGCTGTGCCCACTATGAGGGGTTCCCACCATCCCTGTGCTGAGATCCCGGGTCTGTACGCCCGCTGTGCCCACTATGAGGAGTTCCCACCATCCCTTTGCTGAGATCCCGGGTCTGTACACCCGCTGTGCCCATTATGAGGGGTTCCCACCATCCCTGTGCTGAGTTCCCGGGTCTGTACACCCGCTGTGCCCCTTATGAGGCAATTACTGGAATCGATCCCCTGTATGGCTCTCTCTGCAGCAGCTGAAAGCCGGCTTCTTCTCCTTCTTCCTCCCACTGGCTTTCAGCTGCTGCAAAGAGAGACATAGTACAGACATGGACAGGACCAGGGGTGGACTGACAACTCGTGGGGCCCCCGGGCAATAGGGGATCATGGGGCCCCTGTGTCCTTGCCCAAACTCAAAAAAGCCTATGATTAAGGTACCAGGGGCATCTCATGGGGCCCCCTACTGACCCCGGGTCCTCGGGCAGTGCCCTAGTTTCCAAATGATCAGTCCGCCCCTGGACTGGCGGCACTGCTGGGCACTGCTGGCACTGCACTGCTGAGCTGCACTGATGGGCACTTGTGGGCAGCACTGGCGGGCGGCACTGCTGGGAACCGATCATCAGTGCCGGTCCCTCCTCTGACAACTGCCACTTCTCAGCAGTATTTTCCTCATGCTGTGACAGTGCGAGGAAAGTGCAGCTGATAACCGGCAATTGCATTTCCCTGTGATCAGCGTGTCGTTGGACACGGCTGATCATGTGGTAAAAGGCTGCTGTGATTGGCATCTTACCACATCACATGAGATCGGCAGGTGCGTGCCCCCCGGGGGCGTGCAGGAGAGCGCGTTCTGGGAGGACGTCATTCGGCTATCTGCGGTCGGCAAGAGGTTAATGTGTGTTCAGGTTTACAGGGATGAGGTGGCAACCCTGGGGGACCGGGAGCATGGGGGAGGGGAGGGGGGGCTGGTTCACCTTTTTATGTTTTGTAAGAAGGTGGGCTTACCCTTCAGCTTGTTGCCCCCCACTTAACACTGTGGGGGTGATTAACTAAATCTGGAGAGGTGCTTTAAAGCCGAGCTCCACCCAAAAGGGGAAGTTCCACTTTAAAGATTGATCCCCACCTCCCCATTAAGGATTGGCACCTTTTGGGGGGCGGGTACCCGAATTTGACAGGTACCCGCTCCCACTTCCGCTGCAATTGCCTAGGCGATCGAAAGCGGAAGTCGCCCCCCCCCCCCCCCCCCCCCCCCTAGTCTTTGGGTCCCAGAAGACGACGGGCCATTCAGGAAGCGCAGCGCTTCTCGCACATGCTCAGTGGGAAGCTTGCGGCTTCACAGCCGGGAGCCCACACTGAAGATGCCGGCCTGGAATACAGGACGGCCAGTGAAACGGGCTGCGGGGGCAACACGGGACCGAGGGACAGGTAAGTGGCTGTTTTTTAAAAGTCAGTAGATACAGTTTTTGTAGCTGCTGACTTTTTAATTTTTTTACAGTGAGTGGAGCTCCGCTTTAAGTGTTGGGCACCAGAGGGAGGTGAAGGTATCACTGAAATATATGCACAGCTTTGTTACTGGTTTCCTCCTCTGGACTCCTCCTACCTGTCCTGTCTGGGACTAATTCATGGCTATTCCCAATGCGATGCGTCTGATTCATTGTCCAGTGTAAGGGGGGGGGGGTTTGTACAGCATGCAGCATCCTCTGGACTGCACAATCTCCCTGAGCCCGGGTTCACATATATGCGGTGCCGTATATCGCATGTGATTCACGCAGGAACCGCACCGCATTCCTCTGCCAATCACGTGTGATTTGTGTGCGGTGCGATCGGAGTCGTGCATCTTGTATGGCTCTAATCGCGCTTCATCCGCACCAAAAACATGCCGGACCATTTTTTTTTTTGGGTCCGCACTAGAATCGGATCGCACGGGTATTCACACCTATGCGATCCGATTCTGCACATCGCACCGCGTTTTGCAGACCGATTTCAGGGTTTTGTTAAGATACACACCCGCAGCGGTTCGCATGAACGGGGGCCGATTCTGATGCGCTGAAAACGCTGCAAATGCTGCACCTCATCAGTGTGATCCTGGGCTTACACATGGGATTCCAATTATTTTTCCATTCATGGTGATCTCCTTTGAGTGGCAGATATATATAATATACATGGTGCAAAACATTGATTAAAAATAGTATCCTCACTTTTTTGCTGGTGATGCGTACAAAGTCCCAGAGACATGATACATACACTTTATTGCCAAAAGTATTGGGCCCACCCTCCATATCATGTGATTCAGGTGTTCTAATCCCCTCCATATCATGTGATTCAGGTGTTCCAATCCCCTCCATATCATGTGATTCAGGTGTTCCAATCCCCTCCATATCATGTGATTCAGGTGTTCCAATCCCCTCCCAATCATGTGATTCAGGTGTTCCAATCCCCTCCCAATCATGTGATTCAGGTGTTCCAATCCCCTCCATATCATGTGATTCAGGTGTTCCAATCCCCTCCCAATCATGTGATTCAGGTGTTCCAATCCCCTCCATATCATGTGATTCAGGTGTTTCCAATCCCCTCCCAATCATGTGATTCAGGTGTTCCAATCCCCTCCATATCATGTGATTCAGGTGTTCCAATCCCCTCCCAATCATGTGATTCAGGTGTTCCAATCCCCTCCATATCATGTGATTCAGGTGTTCCAATCCCCTCCAATCATGTGATTCAGGTGTTCCAATCCCCTTCATATCATGTGATTCAGGTGTTCCAATCCCCTCCCAATCATGTGATTCAGGTGTTCCAATCCCCTTTCAATCATGTGATTCGGGTTCCAATCCCCTCCCAATCATGTGATTCAGGTGTTCCAATCCCCTCCCAATCATGTGATTCAGGTGTTCCAATCCCCTCCCAATCATGTGATTCAGGTGTTCCAATCCCCTCCATATCATGTGATTCAGGTGTTCCAATCCCATCCATATCATGTGATTCAGGTGTTCTAATTACCTCCATATCATGTGATTCAGGTGTTCCAATCCCCCCCAATCATGTGATTCAGGTGTTCCAATCCCCTCCCAATCATGTGATTCAGGTGTTCCAATCCCCTCCCAATCATGTGATTCAGGTGTTCCAATCCCCTCCATATCATGTGATTCAGTGTTCCAATCCCATCCATATCATGTGATTCAGGTGTTCCAATCCCCTCCAATCATGTGATTCAGGTGTTCCAATCCCCTCCATAATCATGTGATTCAGGTGTTCCAATCCCCTCCATATCATGTGATTCAGGTGTTCCAATCCCCTCCATATCATGTGATTCAGGTGTTCCAATCCCCTCCCAATCATGTGATTCAGGTGTTCCAATCCCCTCCCAATCATGTGATTCAGGTGTTCCAATCCCCTCCCAATCATGTGATTCAGGTGTTCCAATCCCCTCCATATCATGTGATTCAGGTGTTCCAATCCCATCCATATCATGTGATTCAGGTGTTCCAATCCCCTCCCAATCATGTGATTCAGGTGTTCCAATCCCCTCCCAATCATGTGATTCAGGTGTTCCAATCCACTCCATATCATGTGATTCAGGTGTTCCAATCCCCTCCATATCATGTGATTCAGGTGTTCCAATATCCTCCATATCATGTGATTCAGGTGTTCCAATCCCCTCCAATCATGTGATTCAGGTGTTCCAATCCCCTCCCAATCATGTGATTCAGGTGTTTCCAATCCCCTCCATATCATGTGATTCAGGTGTTCCAATCCCCTCCATATCATGTGATTCAGGTGTTCCAATCCCCTCCATATCATGTGATTCAGGAGTTTCCAATCCCCTCCCAATCATGTGATTCAGGTGTTCCAATCCCCTCCCAATCATGTGATTCAGGTGTTCCAATCCCCTCCCAATCATGTGATTCAGGTGTTCCAATCCCCTCCATATCATGTGATTCAGGTGTTCCAATCCCCTCCATATCATGTGATTCAGGTGTTCCAATCCCCTCCCAATCATGTGATTCAGGTGTTCCAATCCCCTCCCAATCATGTGATTCAGGTGTTCCAATCCCCTCCCAATCATGTGATTCAGGTGTTCCAATCCCCTCCATATCATGTGATTCAGGTGTTCCAATCCCCTCCCAATCATGTGATTCAGGTGTTCCAATCCCCTCCCAATCATGTGATTCAGGTGTTTCCAATCCCCTCCCAATCATGTGATTCAGGTGTTCCAATCCCCTCCCAATCATGTGATTCAGGTGTTCCAATCCCCTCCATATCATGTGATTCAGGTGTTCCAATCCCCTCCATATCATGTGATTCAGATGTTCCAATCCCCATCCATATCATGTGATTCAGGTGTTCCAATCCCCTCCAAATCATGTGATTCAGGTGTTCCAATCCCCTCCATATCATGTGATTCAGGTGTTCCAATCCCCTCCATGGACACAGGTGTATACAATCAAGCCCCTAGGCATGCAGACTGCTTCTACAAACATTGGTGAAAGAATGGGTCGCTCTCAGGAGCTCAGTGACTCCAAGCGTGGTCCCGTGATAGGTGGCCACCTTGGGCAATAAGTCCATCCGGGACATTTCCTGGCTACTAAATATTCCACGCTCAACTGTTAGTGGGATTATAACAAAGTGGAAGCAACTGGGAACAACAGCCACTCAGCCACCAAGTGGTAGGCCACGTCACATGACAGGGTGGGGTCAGCGCATGCTGAAGCGCACAGTGCGCAGAAGTCGCCAACTGCCTGCAGAGTCAATAGCTAAAGACCTCCAAACTTGGTGTGGCCTTCAGATGAGCCCAACAACAGTGTGTAGAGAGCTTCATGGAATGGGTTTCCATGGCCGAGCAGCTGCATCCAAGCCTTACATCACCAAGTGCAATGCAAAGGGTCGGATGCCGTGGTGTAAAGCACGCCACCACTGGATTCTAGTGCAGGGGAGACGTGTTCTCTGGAGTGACCAATCACGCTCCTCTGTCTGGCAATGCATGGACGTGTCTGGGTTTGGTGGTTGCCAGAAGAACAGTACTTGCCTGACTGCATTGTGCCAAGTGTAAAGT